AAAAAAAAAACCAAAAAAAAAAAGGACAGCCTGATCTACAAAGTGAGTTCCAGGATAGCCAGGGCTACACAGAGAAACCCTGTCTCAAAAGGGGTGGGGAGAAGGTCCTGGGGGAACAAAAATTGTGGTAGCTCATGCATGTAATCCCAGCACTAAGAAAGCAGAAACAGAAGGATTGCTACAGGTTTGAAGGCTGCCTAGCATATTATACAGAGTTCCAGGGAGAGGCTTCATAGTAAGACCCTGTCTCAAAACAAAAAATTCTTGGGAAACTCTTAACAAAAATTTCTGGGCTCTATTCCAGATCTTCTGAATCAAACACTCCAAAATAACCAGGTATCTGTATTTTTTTTTTTTTACAAGACTCTAGGTAAATGTGATGGGCAGCTTAATTTGAGCACTTTGTTAAATTATTATTTCTTGACTGTGTGGTATTAAACATTTTAAAAGGAAATTTTCTATTCAATAGCAGTATTTGACACTATATGATTTTTTTCTAAAAGTGCCATCCTTTTCTAAGAGTTTTTGTTTTTTTTTTAAGTCCCTTAAGCATACCAAAAGCCTGGTTTGATGAATAGAAACTCATTTCTAAAAGGAAAGTAGACAGTTTTTACTTACCACCAGTAATACCATCTTGGTCTTTTTCTTTCTTCACTGGTCCTGGTGGTGGTGGTGGGGGAGGCATCAACTTGCAATCAATATCTTCACAATCAGCATCATAGTCATCTTCATCATAATCTCCTAAAACCAAGGTAATTTCAAATGAAGAATTCCATACAGTATCTTTGAGCATCCTTCAAATCTCAAGATTTAAAGCACCACAGAAGTACTATGCATCCTTTAAGAACATACAGAAGAGTCTTGTGTGTTTGTGTGTGTGTGTGTGTGTGTGTGTGTGTGTGTGTGTGTGTGTGTAAAACACTCCTTTAATCTCAACACTCAGAAGGCAGAAGTAGGTAGCTCTCTGAGTTTGAGGTTAGCCATGACTACATAGCTAAGAAACTATCTCAAAAAACAAACAAAACATAAAAAAATACATAGAATATGCAGCTTCTGCCTTCAGAAAGATATGGTACAGTCAAATGTTCAGCTCTCACATGGAGTATGAGAGCTTCCAGGAACTGTGTGAAACCTTTTGATTAACTGCTCCTTTTCCTGATCATACTGGGTTTTGTTTTCCACCTTGTTCACTTTCCTAATTGAATAGTCTTCCCCAGTTTCTAAAATTAAAAAAAAAAAAAACAAAACACACAAAAAAGCACACAGTTCCCAAGTCTTTGATACACTTTTCCTGTCTTTTGGCAGTAGATCATTCTTCTCAGTGCTTTTTAACTATTGGCAGTACTCACTAGTTGGTCCTGACAACATATTTTGTTTTGGTTTTGTTTTTTCCAGACAGGATTTCTCTGTATAGCCCTGGGTGACCTGGAACTCACTTCGTAAACCAGGCTGGCCTGAAACTCAGAAATCCACCTGCCTATGCCTCACAAGTGCTGGGACTAAAGGTGTGTGCCACCACACTTGACTAAAGATCTGTTATGTTATTTTATGTATGTGGGTGCTTTGTCTGCATGTCCATCTGCACACAAGAAGAGAGCATTGGATCCCACTATAGATGGTTGTAAGCTGCCATGTGGTTGCTGGGAACGGCAGGACCTCTGGAAGACTTAGTCCTCTTAATCACTGAGTTATCTCTCCAGGCCCATACTTTGTTTTCAATGTTTTGACACAAGGTCTCATGCAACCTAAGTATTGAGATTACAGGCATATATACTACCTTGCTGGCTCAAATAGTCTTTTGTTCTACATATTTCCCTTTTCAACAATCATCCTTACCAGTCAGCATGGTAGAACATGCCTGTAATCCCAACATTTGGGAAGGAGAGGCTGCATGATTAGGTGTTCAAGGCCGGTCTGTATTACATGACATCCTGCCTCAAGGTAGTAACTAAAAAGACCCCAAGGGAGCTAGCAGGATGGCTCAGTGGGTAAAGGCACCTACCACAAATCGTAACAACCTGAGTTTGATCCCCAGGGCCCACATGGTAGGGCAGAACTGATTCCTTCGCTCCCCTCTGACTACTTATGTGTTGGAACATAGGCTTCCACATGCAAAATAAATGTAATTTTAAAAATAAACAAACAATAGAGGCTGGACCAATGGCTCAGCAGAAAAAAAGCAATTATTGTACTTGTTCTTGCAAAAGACCCAAGGCAGCTCACAATCTTCCATAACTCTAATTCCAGGAGATAGGACAGGTTCTTATGACCTCCAAGGGAACCAGGCACACACGTGGTGAACACACACACAAACAGGCAAAACAGCCACATCCACAAAAAGTAAAAACATCTTTTAAAAATAGAAGAAAGGCATGACTCTTTTAAAGAGGGGAACTCCTTTAGAGCGAGCTCACACGAGCGTGTGGGGGCAGGGGAGGACACGACACGGGACTGGAGAGATGACTCGGTGGTTAAGAGCACTGGCTGCTCTTCCAGACAGCCTGAATGTGATTTCCAGCACCCACATGGTGGCTCACAACCATCTGTAACTTCAGTTTCAGCATATCCAATTGGCATCTGTGAACAATGCATACACACACATGCAGGCAAAAATACCACTACACATAAAATTAAATAAATCTAAATAAAAAAAGCCCTCAAGAGTCAATGAGACAGCCCATTGGACAAAGGAATTGCTGCTCGTCTGGCCACCTGAGTTCAATCCCTAGGACCCACGTAGAGATGGAAGGAAATAGCCAACTCCACAAAGTTGTCCTCTGACCCCTACACATGTGCTGTACATACACATGCACATACAAAATAAAAATTACCTTTATTAGTCCTGTGGGGTTTTTTTTGAGACCAGGTTTATGTATCCCTGGCTGTCCTGGAAATTTGTATATAGACAAGGCTAGCCTCAAATTCAGAAATCCACCTACCTCCTCTGCCTCCCACCCTAATTTAAATCCAAATTTTCGGGCTTTGCCCTGATTTACCATATTTCTACAATTCTATCACATCTTGGCTGCCTAAAGGAAACTTTCCAGTTAGATTATCAACTTTTTTTTTGTGTTTAGTAAATGATCTCCCATCATGTGACCACAAACTTAAATTCCCAAAGAGTATTAATCATTTTCTTGACTATAGAAGAAAACTGGGAGATTACTATAAATAACAAATTCAAGTGTCAGATAATAAATGGAATATGGAATTGGGATTTCAACCTTTAGTATTCTGACCCAGAAGTCTATTCTTTCCATTCTATCACACTATTTAGCAATCATGTTGGCCAGAAACTCTTTATGGCATCAAATCTCAAATAATATAAACATAAAGAAGCTACAAAATTTGTCTTATCTTTGGTTTTTGCTATTTAGCAATATTTTTCCCATGGCTTAAAAAAAAAAAGGCTGAGGCCTAATATCACACGCCTTAATCCTAGTACGTGGGAGGCAGAGGCAAGTAGATCTCTATGAGTTCCAGGCCAGACAGTTACACAGTGAGACCCTGTCTCAAAACAAATACCACTGGCTAATTCATTTCCCCATTCCTTTCTTATTTTTTTCTTTCTTTTTGTTTTGAACCAAGGCTTCACTATGTAGCTCTGACTATCCTGGAACTCACTGTGTACATCAGGCTGGTGTTGAATTTACAAGATCTGCCTGGCTCTAGCTCTCGGGTGCTAGTCAGAGCCAGTACACCTGGCTTCCCCATTATTTTCTTATTTCTCATTTTCTCAACTCTCTAGACAAGTCTTTGACCCAGCACTCAGGAAGGGAGAGGCAAGTGGATCTCTATGAGTTAGAGGTGAGAGTTCCAGGACAGCCAGAGCTATACAGTGAGACCCTGTCTCAATGTGTGTGTGTGTGCGTACACATATAAATGGATATATATACTTTTTGCTAGACATGGTGATGTCTAGCCTTTAATCTTAACACTTTTGTAGGATACAGGACAATCAGGAGTTCAAGGTCATCCTTGGATCTAGAACTTAACCCACCTAGGGCACACGACATCCTATTTTTAAAAAGAAATACAATACTGGACATGGCAGCACACACATTTTTCTTCATCTATAAACTCTTTAAGGGCAAAGACTGGATTTGTTTTCATCTCTAACTTCGAAGAGCATCTAAGAACAGTATCTCAAACCTACAGGCACTTAAAAAAGACCAAATGACAAGAAATCATTATCACCCTTGTCATTAGCCAACACTTTGAGACTGAGCATTATGAGAATAAAAGCCTGAGCTTGGTAAAAGAGGACACCTACCACTTGGAACTGAATTGACAATAGGACTAGCAGACAGAGGAAATTCACAGACAGTAAACCACAACGGCAGAGACCAACATAGAAGTCAGAGCCCCAAACACATTTATCCAGGAAGAAAATGCACTACACTACCAATTTGATAACATTAAAGAATGCCAGGCATAGTGGGGCACATCTCTAATCCCAGCACTTAGGAAGCAGAAGCAGGTGGATCTCTATGGGTTCTAGATCATCCTGGTGTACACAGTGAGTTCCAGGATAGGCAGGGCTACATACAGAGACCCTGTCACTAAAAAAAACAAAAAAGAGAATCACCTGAGTGACAAAGGGGTTGCAAGCTCCCCATCGACTGCTGATATCTTCGGCTTTCATCTTCTGCCACCTCATTGATGTCTGAATAGTCCACAGCATCTTCTCTACTCCTAATCCAGCCTATGGACAAAAAGGAGAGACATCTCAAGAAAAAGCAAGTCATTCTCACTTCCATAGATAATTCCCACTTAAAAGTACGTGGACCATAGCTAGCCTCCTCCCCTGACCCACACTGTACTCCCCATGGCCCACACTTCACCTTCGTCATTTAACAAGGCACCATCAGTCTCTGTCAATTCTTCATTTGCCGTGAGTTCAGTGATCAGGCTGCCCAGACCCAAAGCCCCCAAGCCTGCAAGATGCTTCTTACATTCCTGAAAAAGGGACAGCATGAGAGTCGAAAGTAACAACCAAACCTGAAAGTCCTGCACAAGGTTTATTTGCCTCGCTCATGACAAAGTTACAAATCCATTTGAAAAAAAATGATTCCACAATGTGCTCAAAGGCACTTCACATGCAAGAACTGTACAGGAAATCTAAACTCCATATAGATCAGATCCAAACAACACAGGTCCCATCCATACCCCTGGCTTTGAAGCCATTCCAGATCAACGAAAGCCAGACAAGCAGGGTCCCAACAATCTTCAAGAAGGATCTCACACAGTAACGGTTCTGATAACTTTGCTAGGTTCAACTATTATTTTCCCCAGCAAACAAGCGGACTGTTACCTTCGAACCAAACACCTCTGCGTCAGTGACTGACACTTAACCGTTTTCCTCTTTTCTCCCCATCCTTCCTCCGAGTTGAGCGCGCGCGCTCTCGCTCTGCACTCTTCCTCAAAGCCAAGAGAAGGGGCTCCTCTGAGCCCCCCAAATGGCCTAGAACACCCTCTGTCACCGCTTCCTAAACAGTCTCCACTCCAGCCGTCCTCCCTAGCCACACCACCCTCCGCCTCAGGCCCACGCCCACGCCTCACATCATCCAAGACGCTTTCGCCCTCCAGCTGCCCTGCTCCATTGATGTTTCCGAACAGGAACCCGGTTAAAGAAAATGGTCCTCCTCCGGCGGAATCTTCATCGCTGTCCGTGTCTGACATGATGGCGGCACGTCTGCCCGCACCGGTTGCGGACAGCAGCCCGGCCCGGCCCGGCCCCTTCGGCCGGAAACAAATACGTCAGTCGCACGGTAATGACTCGCGCTCCCAGACCCTCCCAGAGTCTACCGGAAGTTGAAAAGAAAAACCGGAAAAACCGGGCTGTCGCTCAAGAACCGACACTCAGGCATACTACTTCACTAACTGTTTTTGATTGGTCCGCCCAGGATCAGGAGGCTGGGTAAATGGAAAGTGGTTGGTCAAAGAAACCGTTCAGTCCCGCCCAGCGACTGCGCGGGAACCTTCTCGTTGCTAGGGTAGGAGAGGCAGATTTCCCTCCAATAAGAAAGACGTTTTGAGACCGCCTGACCTATACCCCCTGGAAACCTGGGGTCACAGGCTGCAAGGCACGGAAGTAAGGATTTAAACCGGTTTTTCTGGTTTGTGCCGTTCCCCAAAGGAACGTTGCTGTGAATTGTGCCAGAGGTAGGAACGCTACTTACTTATTTTGAATCGGCATTTCCCCACAGCAAAATGTGAAGCTTAGTCCAGCACTCGGCAGGCAGAAGCAAACGGATCTCTGTGAGTTCGAGACCAGCCCTTTCTGCATAGTTCCAGGACAGCCAGGGCTACACAGAGAAATCCTGTCTTGAAAAAACAAAACAACAACAATAAAAAAAAAATGAAGCTTAGTAAAACAAGCAACCGAAACTTCGAGATTCACAATCGCTAACATTTTCATAGTTTTTTAAAAAGCTATTTATTCTTATTTTATGTGCATTGGTGTTTTGCCTGCATGTATGTCTGTATAAACATGTGAGATCTTGGAGCTACAGTTGTGAGCTGCCATGTGGGTGCTGGGAATTGAATCTGGATCCTCTGGAAGAGCAGCCAGTGATCTTAACTTCTGAGCCAGCTCTCCAGCCTCGTGGTTTGTTTATTTGAGCTCCAGCACCAAAATAAATAAATAAATAAATTAAATAAATAAATAAATAAATATTTAAAAGCTGGGAGAGAGGGAAGAGAAACAAAGAGGGAGAGAAAGTAAGTATACAGGACTGGTGATACGGCTCCCTAGCCCCGTGGTTTGTTTATTTGAGCTCCAGCACCAAAATATAAATAAATAAATAAATAAATAAATAAATAAATAAATAAATAAATAAATAAATAAATAAATAAATAAATAAATAAATAAATAAATAAATGAATGAATGAATGAATGAATGAATGAATATTTAAAAGCTGGGAGAGAGGGAAGAGAAACAAAGAGGGAGAGAAAGTAAGTATACAGGACTGGTGATACGGCTCCCTGGCCGTGTACTTGCCAGCATTCGTGAGTTTGAAGACCTAGGTTCAATTCCCAGTACTTAAAAAAATGACTTTAGTCAGGCAGTGGTGGTGGCGCATGCCTTTAATCCCAGCACTCGGGAGGCAGAGCCAGGCAGATCTCTGTGAGGCCAGCCTGGGCTACATAGTGAGTTCCAGGAAAGGCGCAAAGCTACACAGAGAAACCCTGTCTCAAAAAAAAAAAAAAGACTTTATTTTTCCGGGTGTAGGTAGCTGAGGTGGGCGTGTCTCTGAAGTCAAGACCAGCCTATTATACATAAGTTCCAGGCTACACAATGAGACTCTGTCAGAAAAAAAAAATTAAAATATTTAAGTACTTTACATATTTATTCTTTATTTCCAAAAGTAGACATCTTAAACCAGCCAGATGCCTCAGTGGGTAAAAGACACCTGCCACCACCCCAACCTGAGTTCCATCCCCAGGACCCACTGTTACTGTGGCACATTCGAGACACACAAAAGTAGACATTTTTTTTTTCAACCCACTCTTGCGACTTTAAAAAGTTAATGTCTCAAAGCCTTTAATCCCAGCACTCAGAAGGCAGAGCTAGGAGGATCTCTGTGAGTTCAAGGGCAGCCTGGGCTACAGAGCGAGATTCAGAACAGGCTCCAAAGCTACACTGAGAAACCTTGTCTCAAAAAACAAACAACAACAACAACAAAATTAAATCAATGTATTTGACATACAGTTAAAATTTAAGTGTCTAGAGTTGTTGGAATTGAAGCATCTATGTTTCCAAATCTAGGATTTATTCAAGGTTCCTACTTTGCATTTTTTGTGCATCTTTCCTTGTTGATTGTTTTGTTTGTATTTCTGTTTGTTTTGAGACAGCCTCACTTCAGTTTTCTAGGCCTGGCCTTGAACTTTCCATTCTCTTGCCCCAGCTTCCCAAGTAACTGAGTTTACCAGTCTTTGTTACCAAGTTCAACCCTGCAATTACATTTTACCACCTCCCTTTAGCCTAGACACGGGGAAGTTTTCTTTATTTTGTAAAAGGTTTTATCTATCTATCTATCTATGTATCTATCCATCCATCCATCCATCCATCCATCCATCTATCTATCTATTTTGGTTTTGGTTTTGAGACAAGGTTTCTCTGTGTAACAGTCCTGGCTATCCTGGAATTTGCTTTGTAGACCAGGCTGGCCTGGTAGTCATAGAGATCTGCCTACCTCTGTCTCCCAAGTGCTGGCATTAAAGGTGTGCGCGCCACCACTGCCCCACGAGGTGTTTTTCTTTTAAATTATGTGTATGGGCACATGCACTGGAGTGCAGTTGTCCATGGAGGACAGAGCTGTTGACTGCCTGTTGGAGTTACAGATAGTTGTGAGCTGCCTGATGTGAGTACTGAGAACTGAATTCAGATCCTCTGGGCGAACAGCAACCACTCATTCGTAACCATGAACTATCTAGCCAGCCCTGGTACAGTTTTACTGAAAAATGTTTGCTATTCTGCATATGCCTGATTGTTCTTCAAATTGATCTGGGTTTCATATTTTACTGGCCATTAAGAAGGCAGAGTATCGGGCTGGAGAGATGGCTCAGAGGTTAAGAGCACTGACTTCTTTTCCAGAGGTCCTGAGTTCAATTCCCAGCAACCACATGGTGGCTCATAACCACCGTAATGAGATTTGGTGCCCTCTTCTGACATGCAGGCAGAACAATGTATACATAATAAATAAATGTTAAAAAAAAAATTAAAAAAAAAAAGAAGGCAGAGTATCAGATTGTCCCAATATTGATAATGCTAATTTGATCGGTTATGTAGGGTGACGGCCAGATGCCCTGTTGAAGTAATACATCTCCTTTATAACCTAGTAAATCACTTATGGGCAATCCTTTGACATTATGTAAATATTCCATATATCATCACACTTTAATTGTTTTGGTGTGATATTTTGTTTGTACTCTAACAAGTAAAACTTGCCTGATGGTCAGAGGACAGAGCCAGCCACTAGATTAAACATAGAGGTCAGGCAGTGGTGGCACACACCTTTAATCCCAGCACTAGGAAGGTTGAGACAGGAAGTGATATGGGTGGGCAGAGAAAGGAATATAAGGCAGGAAGAGACATTCTTGACCCCCTTGATTTTGCTGGGAATGTAACCTGGGTCCTCTAGAAGAGTAGCCAGTGCTTTTAACCACTGAGCCATCTCCAGCCCCTTATTTATTTTTTGCAGTGCTATGGATAGAACACAGAGCCTATACATACTAGGGAAGTTCTCTCCCACTGAGCTACAACCCTTTTTTAAAATTGATGTTGAGACAGGACCTCTCTAAGTTGCCCAGGCTGACTGGAACTCAGGGTCCTATCTCAGCTTCCCTGGTAGCTGGGATTACAGATACACAGCGACACACCTGGCTCCCTGTTTGACTTGGTGTTGATTCTGCTTTGGTTTTTAGATAGGGTCTCCTATAACTCGGGCTAGTCACAAACTCTGATATAGCTGAGGATGCTTGAACTTCTGATTCTCAAAGCACTCCATTTCCTGGGTGCTAGGATGTTGAGCATGCACCACGTGTCAGGTTTATGCAGGACTGCAGATCAAGCTCTGAGCTCTGTGCAGGCTAGGAAAGCACTCTACCAGCTAAGCTACATTCTTGATGCCCTCGATTTTGTTTTTAGCTGGTGGTGGTGGCGGCGGCGGCGGCGGCGGCGGCGGCGGCGGCGGCGCACGCCTTTAATCCTAGCACTCCTAAGGCAGAAGCAGGCAGATCTCTGTGAGTTTGAAGCCAGCCATTATACCATTATACAAAGTGAGTTCCAAGACAGCTAGGGCTATGCAGGGAAACTCTGTCTTGAAAAACAAAAATAAAAAAAGGTTTGCTTATTTTTATATTATGTGTGTTTAAATGTTTTGTCTAAATATATACATGAGCACTGTGTGAATGCTTGGTGCCTAGAGACAACCATCTCTTTAGCATTCTTCATTTGTTTTCTACTGAGACATTAATTTTTTTCTTTCTTTTTGTTTTTTCCAGACAAGGTTTCTTTGTGTAGTCCTGGCTGCCCTAGAACTTGCTTGGTAGACCAGTCCAGCCTCAAACTCACAGAGATCTGCCTGCCTCTGCCTCCCAAGTTCTGGAATTAAAGGTGTGTGCCACCACTGCTCAGCTTTTAAATTAAATATTTTAACAGTAGTTAAAAATTTTAGGCCACAAGCCAGGTGGTGGCGCACGCCTTTAATCCCAGCACTTGGGAGGCAGAAGCAGGTGGATCCCTGACTCAGGTCCTCTACAGAGCTAGTTCCAGGACAGCTAGGGCTGTCGTGTTACACAGAGAAACCATGTCTCAAGAAACAAACAAACAAAGATTTTAGGCCAGACAACTTTGGCAGGGCAAAGGTTCCCAGTCTTGTCTCAATTGGAGCCATCTTTGGTTTACCCTGAAACTGACCACCCCACCCTTCTACTCACACTGTGAAAAGTCCCATGGGAAAGCACCTAGCCTTGTTCTAGAAACTCAAGGTCAAAATGCCTTGCTAAGTGCATGATTTTGGCTTCTGTTAAACTGCACGCCTACTTTACTTTCCCCTGCAACTGCAAACCAGGATGGAGTTTTGCCGTGTTCTTTGCCTTTAAAAGTTCTGTGTGAGGGCCTGGAGAGATGGCTCAGCAGGTTAAGAGCACTGGCTGCTCTTCCAGAGGACCCGGGTTCAAGTCCCAGCACCCACATGGCAGCTCACAACTGTCTGCAACTCCAGTTTCAGGGGACCCAAAACTTCCCATGG